GCGCATTCAAAGAAGCGTATGTCTTTAATATCCGACGAATGTTTTGTATGAGCATACTCAGTTGTAAGTTGTAAAGTAAATATCAATATCAATAATCAGTTTTACTAGTTCGGACTTACATTGTCTGATATGCTTTAATATGATTCGAAATCTCTGAAAGAACAAATACAACAATTATATCAAGCAATAAAACGTGAAATGAAATGAAAGAACACACAATAATCAAACCTCTCCAAACAGCAAATAAATCGAAACATAGAAAGGACAAATACAATTATGTATTGTGTCTGTGATTACTATTTCTGTAATTGACGTTATTGATCACTCATTATTCACAGTGGAGTTTTCTTTATCTATACAGGGTGATTCCTAACTACGGTACGAAACTTCAAAGGGTGATGTGTTATGTCATTTTAAGAAAAAAGCTTCCAAGAGTATATGTCCGGAGTGGCTTTGTTTGAAAAAAACGGTGTTTATAAAATATCATAAATATCCTTACACCGATTTGGTTGAAATTTCCTACAGTTATTTGAAATAACAAAGTGCTTATTCAGCCTGAACTAGATTGAAATTATTAAATCTAGTGGCGACTAACGGTTTGGTGTTGGGAAAAAACTCCAGTAATATTCAAACAATTTCGACCTTGAAATGAATGAGCAAAATGTCCACTTTCTGGTAAAAAAACATGACTGCAATCGATTTATCATTAGTTGTCTGACACGTTCAAGAATCCCTGGAGTATTCCTTATGACATTTCAATTGACAGATTTTTGGTTCTTCACGTTATTCCCATCTAGTACATAAACAAGAGTCTTCATATGACCTAGAGATCTAGAGGATTCGCCTGTTAATCTTGCTGGTAAAAAAAAGGGCCAATTACGTAGTCACCAATCATTCCTACCCAAACAATCAGCGATAATTATTGCTTAAAATGACTTTCATTCTGGAAGTCATTTCAAGCAAATTTGCTTCGTCCGTAAATGAAGTATTTGGTGAAAAATCATTGTGTATCATCGTATGGATCAACCACCTGCGAAACATCTTACGTAAAAATCCCGAGGCAGTGAATCTTGGACCCGCTGTATATAGGGCATAGGGAGTTTTATTTTCAGAACTGTCCATACGATTTTGGGCTGAATTCCAGCTGCAGTTCTATATTTCCGGTACTGTTTGAAGGATCTTCTCCTACCGCAATAAGTATATCTTCTTCTAACTCAAGCGTTGTTACAGTTTCTGGTCTCCCACCACCAACATTTTCGATAGAACTCCCAGTTTGATATAATCTTGCATGTAGAGTTCTGAATGTTTCAGCACATTGAATTACTCTGTTAAGATATCTGTCTTCTTCCGCATTTCAATTTGCTGATACATGAATAAAGTGCAGGTCAGCCATTTCAGCGTTAGTGAAATTATCTATGAGGAAATCTCTACTAACTGACAACTCTGACTTTCACTGATATGACAATACTATCACGATCAGCTGGTCTCCAAAGCAGATATTCATGATATTCAGAGTGGCTTCAATTTTTTTTCTGGAAAACGAAGATAGATATGAAGAAAACACAGGCGACGAAAAAGTTATATTTTCAGTTGAATAATCTAAAAAATACAACACTACAACAAGTCAGTGGCGTACTTCTTTTTCCAATATTGTTGGCTGTGGTACTCAGTGGGACTCCACTGGAACTAATAATTTCAATCTAATTAGTGCTAAATGAGCGCCTTATTACTTCAAATAATTATAGCAAATTTCAATCGAATTAGACTAAGAATATGTATGATATAGATTGGGGAGGAGTGAATAATGACTCTCTGGAAAATACATATCATACAGTCATGGATACTGAGGATTATATCAAGTAGATGGCGTATTCAAAGAAGTGGATGTCTTTAATTTTCGACGAATATTTTGTATGAGTATACTCGGCAATGTTGTAAGTCGTAAGGTAAATATCATTATCAATATCAATAATCAGTTTTACTAGTTCGGACTTACATTGTCTGATATGCTATAATATAATTCGAAATCTCTGAAAGAACAAATATAACAATTATATTAAGCAATAAAACGTGAAATGAAATGAAAAAACACACAATAATCAAATCTCTCCAAACAGCAAATAAATCGAAACATTTGTAGAATGGACAAATACAATTATGTATTGTGTGTGTGATTACTATTTCTGTAATTGACGTTATTGATCACTCATTATTCACAGTGGAGCTTTCTTTATCTATAATGAAATATCATAAATATCCTTACACCGATTTGTTTGAAATTTTCTACAGTTATTTGAAGTGATAAGGTGCTTATTCAGCCTGAACTAGATTGAAATTATTAAATCTAGTGGCGTCTCAGTGGGCACCACAGCCAACAATATTGAAAAAAAAGAACGCCACTGACTTTATGGATTTTTGTTTTTTAAATTAGGCAACTCAAAATACAACTTCTTCGTCGTTTGTGTTTTCTTTATATCAAGCTTCATTTTAAAGAAAAAAAATCACTTCGATACCGAAAACATGAAATAAAAACCAAAAGTGAATAATAAACAATTCGTTTGATCTTCCTCTTGAAGATGATCACTTGGTGATCGAAACACGTGTCGAGGTGTTGGACTAACGGTTTGGTGTTGGAAAAAAAACTCCACTAATATTCAAACAATTTCGACGAGTGAATGAGCAAAATGTCCACTGTCTGAAAAAAAACATGACTGCAATCGATTTGTTATTGGTTGTCTGAAACGTTCAAGAATTCCTGCAGTATTCCTTATGACATTTCAATTGACAGATTTTTGGTTATTCAAGTCATTCCCATCTAGTACGGAAGTTTCATAAACAAGAGTCTTCATATGACCCCATGGATAGAAATCTAGAGGATTCATACCAGCACTTCGCAATGGCCAATTTTAAGGTCTTGCACATCCAATCCAGTGATTAGGGTAGGTACTGTCGAGATGCTGACGAGCAAGAATACATGTTGCCTCTTACTAGTACCAGCACTCGTTCTAACTAATTGAGTAAATGATCTCGGAAAAAGTCCGAGTAGGATTCACCTGTTAATCTTGCTGGTAGAAAAAATGGGCCAATTACGTAGTCACCATTCCTACCCAAACAATCAGCGATAATTATTGCTTAAAATGACTTTCATTCTGAAAGTCATTTCAAGCAAATTTGCTCCGTCCGTAAATGAATCATTTGGTGAAAAATCATTGTGTGCCATAGTATGAATCAACCAGCTGCGAAACATCTTACGTGAAAATCCCAAGGCAGTAAATATTGGACCCGCTGTATATAGGGCATAGGAAGTTTTATTTTCAGAACTGTCCATACGATTTTGGACTGAATTTCAGCTGCAGTTCTATCTTTCTGGTACTGTTTGAAGGAACTTATTCTACCGCATCAAGTATATCTTCTTCTAACTCAAGCGTTGTTACAGTTTCTGGTGTTCCACCACCTACATTTTCAATAAAACTCCCAGTTTGTTATAATCTTGCATGTAGAGTTCTAAATGTTTCAGCACATGGAATGACTCTGTTAAGATATTTGTCTTCTTCCGCATTTCAATTTGCTGATCCATAAATATAGTGCAGGTCAGCCATTTCAGCGTTAGTGAAATTATCTATGAGGAAATCTCTACTAAGTGACAACTCTGACTTTCACTGATATGATAATACTATCACGATAAGCTGGTCTCCAAAGTAGGTGTTCATGATATTCAGAGTGGCTTCAATTTTTTTTTCTGGAATACGAAGATAGATATGAAGAAAACACAGGCGACGAAAAAGTTGTATATACAACACTACAACAAGTCAGCGGCGTACTTCTTTTCCAATATTGTTGATTGTGGTACCCACTGGGACTTCACTGGAACTAATAATTTCAATCTAATTAGTGCTAAATGAGCGCCTTATTACTTCAAATAATTATAGCAAATTTCAATCGAATTAGACTAAGAATATTTATGATATTTTATAATTACCGTTTTTTTTTAATTCAATGCCCTGTATCTCAGAAACGAAGCAACTCCAGACATATTCTCAGGAACTTTTTTTTCAAACGATCTAACGAATCATCTTCTGAAGTTTTGTACCGTAATTGGGAAACACCCTCTATATTCAGTTTATATTTTTTATCAGGAACAAGCTTTATATCCATATGACTGGTCTCCAAGCAGTCAATGTATATGTCTCTGAAACTACGTCTCTTCCAATGTTTGAAATCTGTTTGAAATATGTTTTCCGTTAATCAGCTGTCCCCCCCCGTACGAACGACAACTCTCAGAAGTTGAGAAACTTGTGCGAGCTAAGGACTAACGAGGTCTTACCTTTTAACGTGTAATTCCTAAAACGGTTGCAGAATCATTCCAACTTCAACCAGATAAATTATATCGAGAAAACCATATTTCTTCTGAATAGGAACATAAACTAGATTATCCTACAAATACTTGAATCGAATGTACTTCATGAAATCAAATTATTTTCTCAAAATACAAAGATGAAATTTTTTTCATTGAAATTTTTTTTCACCGTGTTTTTAACGATATTAGTTTGTTAGTTATAATTGGAGTCGCTGACGCCTCTGAACCTAAAAGCGCTCTCGTTAGAGTAACAAGTATCCAGTTTTCGACTCATATCGAAAACATTTTCTCCACTACTTATATTAACCGCATGTTCTATCAATGTTGACTGAAATCGTACTTCTTAAACAGTATCTATGCTTTTGAACAACTATTGACAATATTCAATATCATCATTTCAATTTCAACGTTGTCTATTATGAAAGCACAAAATTCATTCAAACAAGATATGTACCACAACATTTTTCAAACAGAAATGAATCCACTCAATGAATATGCAAGTTTCTGCGAATGAATCTGATAAAAATCCTCTGTATATTCCGTTACACATCGTATATATCACAGTAATCGCTACCGCATTGCAAGCACAGCACTAATTTTTGACCACAAAGCCGCATTTTCATTTTCCTCTTATATTTTCCAGTTCAAAGCGCCGTGAACCTCTACGTGAATCTTCAAGGCATGAGTTCGACGCGTTCGTGCCTGAAAGTCCCGGCTCGGCGATACTCAAGTAGGCAGAAATTACAGCAGAATTGGTCTCAGGACTCGAGCAGTCCAATTTCAGGATCAAGAAAGCTGACAACCGGCTTGAGGAGGACAAACGCCGAACGCAGTCTCCTGAACAAAAGACGAGTAGTCAAGATGCTCCTGGCCGTCGTGTTGGAGTTTTTCATCTGCTGGACGCCATTGTATGTTATCAATACCGTGGCTCTTTTCAATTCTTCCGTCATTTACAATAGCATAGGATATAGCGGTGTTAGTTTCTTTCAGCTGTTGGCTTACACTTCGAGTTGCTGCAACCCCATTACTTACTGCTTCATGAACTGCAGCTTCAGAAAGTCGTTCTTGAACCTCTTCAGATGCCTGAAGAGATACAAGGGTTCCGCTAATTTAGGCCTGACGGGGAGTGAGATAAATTTGGAGACTAAGTGGACAAACAGACTTTCTGAACCTGCTTTATAATCTGGCAGAGATTTGTTGATATCTGTCAATGGTAACCCCAACTTGATATTATTGAACGAGTAGGTTTTTATGTGAAAACAAGTTGACAACAAAGGGAAGTACGGAGTGAGCCGTCGGAAAATATTTAAAAATATGTCATTGTTCGAGAGGTAGGCAAGTTTCAACCCAAAACCTTTCTAAAACCTTCATCCAGCTTCCCAAATGGAAATGTCATTGTTTGAAAGTTCTCATATATGAATGGAGGTCAAATGATAGCGGATTTAAAAAGGTTTTCAATTCCATATCTGATTGGTATATTACATGTACAGGCCGTTTTCTATCGTGTAGTAACATTGCTGTAGTCTAAACCAGTGTTGGCAAACCTGTGACAAGTGTGTCAGTGCTGATATGAGAGCTCATTTTTGATGACACGCATTTTCAAAGATAAAAAAATGTATAATTCAGATTCAAATAAAAATATTTCGTGAAGCTAACAACATCGTATGAAATGGAGTCCATGAAATGGAGTTGATTACAATAGTTTAGAAACAACGGATTTTCAATTAATGCAAATTGACGAGTTGAACATTCAATCGGTAGATTTTCAGAATAGCATTTGGACTCAAGAATTTATTGAATGAAGATCAGTGATTGAAAAATTGAAATGAATTCGTTTGAAAGGTGAAAATGAGTACAACTACGAAATGATTTTTGAAATCTTGGAACAGATTATAGTCTATACGAAGTCAATACGAACAGCGGAATAAAATACTCATGTACTGGGTCTGATATATTTGCTAGTGAATATCAAATAAAACCTTCCGCATAAAAAAGATGAATAAACCTCGTGAACTATACCACGCCTCACTGTCATTTGAATCATCATATACAGAGACTCGGACTGTCGGAAAATAGTGTGTGTCGCCTCATTTTGGAAAATGATGAAACAGCTGAGCATATATTTTGTGCCTGCCCCGCTGGGGATCGAATCAGGTTTTTGGAGTTCGGTAGAACCATACACTTACCATCTGACCTGAAAGACCACACACCATACAAACTAATCGGCTTCGTTAAGAAGCTGGGTTAATTTGGTCGAGTGTGAATATGTGTGAGCCACAATAAACCCTTGCGGGTTGCGGTGGAAGGTCGAATAGACCCAGTCACTTCGAACCTAACCTAACCTATATGACGCCACCCATTCCATACAAAGAAACTACCGGTTCATTTTTTACACCATTCGAATTGATTTCGTAAAGTATCCTGACACTTCAAAGATTCAGGATTGGGTTTGCTAACAATGTTTTCATCCACCTGTTCTCAACTTTGAATAATATTAGGACGAACAAACAGAATCGATTAACAGGTGAAGTCAACGGCGCTTGCTTTGCTTTGAAATGTTCCAACTATAACCCCCAATCGAAGATTCAACAGATAAACTCCAGCATCAAAAAGTCACTATTTTTATATAATCGTTTGTTTTTGTTCAATTAGTCAACTGAAAGTATAAATATTTTTTTTTGTTTTTACTTTTGTGATGTGTGACACAACACGGAAATTATGTTCTAATACGGCCCTGTCTCTTTCATTTCAGATTTTCATGAAGCGGTGAAATCACATGCATCAACAAAATACAGTGAAATACACGTAATATACGTGGAGCCTTCAAATATTTGATTTTGAGACACGAGTAAAGTACTCTTATTTTGAATAATCTCGAGAAATGTGCATCTTCTGAAACTGAATCTGCATCAAAAAAATACAGTAAAACATACGTAATATACGAGGAGACTTCAAATATTTGATTTTGAGATAAGAGACAAGTTATGTCACGACGTTTCGATTGTTAGTATCCACAATCGTTTTCGGGTGATAACTGGACTTATTCCTCCGAGATCCGACTATTTATAGGCCATTCGACTGCTTTCACCTATACCCTCTTCTCTCTCTCCGCTTCATTGGTTTTTAGCGTTTGGCGGAAGTTGGTCGTTATTCGTTTGATTGGAGGTTTCCATATGTTACGTATCTCTACACTAGCTTGACTAAATGCGTTGTTGGACAACATATACGCGGCTTCTTTGAATTTTCTCCTAAACCAGTGCTCCTCTTTGTGGATGATTTCAGTTTGAGCCCACTTGATATTATGTTGATGAGCCCAAACATGCTGTGCTATTCCGGACTTGCTGGTTTCTCCCCGCTGTGTGTGTTTCTTGTGCTCAGCAATGCGTTCCGCTTGAATAGAGGTTTCCATATGTTACGTATCTCTTCACTAGCTTGACTAAATGCGTTGTTGGACAACATATGTGCGACTTTTTTGAATTTTCTCCGAAACCAGTGGTCCTTCTTGTGGATGATTTCAGCTTGAACTCACTTGATGTTATGTTGATGAGTCTAAACGTGCTCTGCTATTCCTGATTTCTTATCGCTGTATGTTTCTTGTGCTCAGCAATGCGATCTTTCAATGGCCTCTTAGGCTCACCGATGTATGATTCTCCGCACTCGCGGGGTATCCGGTAAATCCAAATCTTGGAATCGCAGTCCGGGTTTGGTGGTCTGGTTTTCGTGAGGTTGCTACGGATAGTGTTCCCAGATCTGAAGCAGGTCCTGATGTTATGCTTGGACCCAATCCTTCGTATCCTTTCCAATAATCCTCTGATGTAGGGAAGTACAAGTACTGGTTGCAGCATCACGAAAACCAGGCCACTAAACGCGGACTGCGATTCCAAAAATTGCATTTACCCATTATCCTGCGAGTGCGGAGAATCATACATCGGTGAAACCAAGAGGCCATTGCTGAGCACAAGAAACACACACAGTGGGGAGAAACCAGCAAATCCGGAATAGCAGAGCATGTTTGGACTCATCAACAGAATATCAAGTGGGCTCAAGCTGAAATCATCCACAAAGAGGAACACTGGTTTAGGAGAAAATTCAGTCGCGTATATGTTGTCCAACAACGCATTTAGTCAAGCTAGTGCAGACATAAGTAACATATGGAAACCTCTAATCAACCGAAAAATGACCAACTCCCGCCAAACGGTCATCTCCCGCTAAAAACCAATGAAGCGGGGAGAGAGAAGAGGTAAAAGCAGTCGAATGGCCTATAAATAATCGGATCTCGGAGGAAAAAGTCCAGTTATCACCCGATGACGATTGTGGATACTAACAATCGAAACCTCGTGACATAACTTGGTTTGAAATCTTTTAATTTTTATTTATCAAAATAACGTTTTGGCAAAAAACCCTTCATGAGTAAGTTTCCCATATGTTGCATACTCTGGATATGACACTGTATAAACCTCTGAAGAAACCAGCCACTCGTGCAGGCTAAACGTCAGGAAGAAAATCCAAGAATCGATGGCCTCAAACCTCAAAAAGTATAATGCTGACAAATTATTTACCAGAAATGTTTAGTTAGGAATTTTGGAATAAACATACTAGGTCCTCTCTTTTATGATGAGCATTGGAATGGTGAAATTTATATACATTTTTATCCAATGAATTTTATGACTACTTAAATGAATTTCCACTAGACATCCACCATGAAATACAATATTTTCAACAAGATGATGCCCCTTTCCATGATACAAAAATATGGATTGGAAACAATCGCCAATCACCTGATCAGCACGATCTCCAAACCTTAATCTTTCAAATTTTCTGTACCAAAATGAATAGAGGATCAACTTTTTTTAATACCTTGTACAGATATCCACAATTTCAAAAATAGGAAAGAGAAAATTGCCACAGTAATTGTATAGCCAGACAACGTATGTGCATTCAACAGAAAAATTGTCAATTCGAGCATTCAGTATAGTTTTTCATGAATAATTCATTTTCTGTATTAGTTTCATTTTTCATCAAAAATCCAGTATACTTAAAATGAATTATTTTTCTGTTTAATTGTTGTCACTAATGATGCTTGTTATTTCAAATGAAACACTATAAAAATATCGGGTGTGATATACCTCTCAACAACGATGTTGTCTCTTTTGTGATGAAAGGAAACAGGTCCGTATTCGAAAAATAAGTTCATTATGGCGGTGTTGACTCAAAACGTTTTATCAAAGCTTTATTGTTTTATCGTTATAGTACATTTCGAATACAATAAAACTTTTTTTTTAATTTTTTAAATTTCCCTGTATAACTCAAAGAGGTCGAAAGTTCCTGTAAATTTTCTTCAACAATCATACTGTCCGTTACAATAGTTACCTTTTCAACATGTAGAAAAGCGTGGGGTGCCAGTCTGGCAAACAGCTCCTAACCAAGTATTCATAACAATGGATATCCAGCACCCCACCCATGTCAACCCATGTCATTTAATGAATCAATTCAATTCAATCAACATTATTACAGAATTACAACAACAACTAAAATCTTAAAAAAAGTATAATAATAAAGTCATGCATTCACACATCAGTAACATCCAGCCATAGGACTTATTATCGATGGTGAACACAATCTTCAATTAATTTCGAATTATTTTCATTTTTTAGTTTGTGTTGCTATTGAAGCGTGTTTTTTTATTTTTTCAAACTATCATACATTTCATTCAATAGTTTTTAATCTTTAATCGTTACGGTTTAGAATCATAAATGAAACGGCCTACATTTCACAATAGTTTTGAGACAAAATTTGTTTCCCTCAGAAAATATAAAGTCTCTCTCAATTATGATCATTCTATATGAATACTTGAAGGTAAATCCCCGTATTGAATCCCATTATTTTCAAAAATGAAGATTGAGATTATAGTAAAAGTGATAATAAAACACAAAATGAGAGCAAGCCAATCTAGGCTGTATTGTACAAATCGAAAAGGTAATATTTCTTAGAAGAGATTACTTTGTTGGGAAAAAATTCTAACCCGTTTTCTGTGCACAAAAAAAATATGTTTTTCTGTTAACCAGGTGTCGCACCCCTACGAACGACAACTCTCAAAAGTTGAAACTTGTGCGAGCTGAGAACTAACGAGGTCTTACCTTTTAACGTGCGATTCCTAACACGGGTTGGACGATACCAAGTGAAAATCGATCGTTCAGCCTGGGGCTTGAACCGGCGACCAACACAGCGATCGAGTCGGTAAAATTACGAATCGAATGAGATATCAATCATAGATTTCAGTAATGGCGAACAAAAATTTTACAAAAAGGCATTGTCGGAAGATAACTTTCATGAACGGATAAAAGTATCTGTATGAAAATACTTATTTCATGACAAGATGAAATTCTGAGGTACATTATTACATGCACAATTCGTGAAAGTTATTGTATGTTGGAAATTTTTGAGTGGAGAGGAAAAAGATGTTCGTTGCTGAATCACTTTTCATCCAATCATGGCATGCGATATATCAAAACCGATATATTTTTTGGATGGAACGGCACTATTTACAAAACAGAAGAAATTGATATAGTATCCTGCTCAAAGAAATTCTGAATTTTTCCTGTTCTGATAGCGAATTTTGAAAACATTTTTAAGATAATTCCATAATCATTCATCTGAGAGAAAAATCATTTTCATCCACTCACTAATCAATTGGGAACGTCCCAATTAAAATATTATCAATATCAATGTTTTATATCATCCTTGTATAAAATATATAAAACAATTCGCTGCCAGTATAAAGTTTATGTTTATTTTTGAAACAGGAATACTAGTTATATATTTGTACATATAATTGATGTAAAAATAATCAATCTGTGAATAAATGGACTATATTGTTGAGTGTGGCACTGTTAATTGTTACATCGAAAACTCATGAATAAATTTCATACAAATGAATACTGACTTTTCTGTGAAAAATTCCTCAAAGTTTCAGATGGATAATTCTATACCTTTCAACACAAGAATAAAGTATCAGAGTAGTTTTCGAGAATCAGCACGTATATAAATATAGTAAGTATTCCTTCCATTGACACATCAAGGTCGTAATACAAATCACAGGAAGTGTTGATATCTTAATATCATAATACAAATACCCAGGCTCTATTGAATTCAAAGTTGAAGGTTGTCTAAAATGAGATATATCCTGTATGAAGTTCAATTCAATATATTTTGATAGACTAGTGGACGTATTGACGGATCTTGAATATATCCATCAATGATGAAGATACAACAGAAAATGAAGTTTTCGATTTTCCCCATAAACTTTCGAAACCAAAAAAGTTCTAGTCGATTTTTTTTTATTCATAAGAAGTCCAAACCAGTTGCTACAATGTAACCGTTTCTCTATTTCTTGTTCTTCGCGAGATTTCCATGCATAGATGAAGGAGGAAGTTGGTTTTTGAATGAACTTTCAGTCTATTCATCTGATTGTTCAGATCAGACCACAAATTTTCTATAGATGGTTGAGGATTGATCGTAGGGTTGTGATTCAACTAATGAGCCATAAAAAGAAAACCACATAAGTAACTATACATATATATTCCATTTTGAACAATACAAATTCCATGTAATCATCAATATTCGGTGCTAAACTATCCATCTACGATTATTCCCCGATGAAACTACTTCGAAGTGGCTCATCGTATTTGCCCATTTACATTTTTTTGAACCTCAGCATCTCCATTGGTCTTTCGTTCATCAACCTCCTGTTCATTCTTGCGTATAGGTCCCCAATAGCATAAATGATTTTTCATGTTGTCATCAAGCGGGGGTATATAAGATCTTGGAATGAGGAATGTTGATAGATTGAATAAATCTACGAATACCTTGTATCGATCACTGGAAAACAAAAAAATAATTGAAAATAACTTGATTACCCGTGAAACTCGATAATGTATACAAAAACACACTTCAATGTGAGATTTCCATTTAATAGTTTACAAAACCGCGACAGCTGAACTTTCAAGTGGAAATCACACATTAAAGTGAATATTTTGAATACATTAAAATGAATTTTCAACAAATATCGGTCAATTCTATCATAGAACTCGACAATGAATCCAATTTCTTGTTATTATCTACTGATTTTTTTATGTTCCCCGAGTCCAAACTGATTAATGAATATTTCATTCAGAAAGAGCTCAGAAATAACGATTTTCTGATTATTTTCTCGAACAAAGGAAGTTTGAGAATAAATCAAACTAAAGTTATATAAAATACGACAAGTTACTGATAAATGGATAGTTACGCTGAATATTTGGAATTTCTAAAACTGTACAAAGTTTTCCACTATAATATTTTTTTTTCAGATCGTGGGAGGTGAAACTCTCATGAAGGTTCATACAATAACTATGATCTCCTTCACAAACAATGATTTTTGTTCAATACATTATTTATCATCCAGACAATGTTAAATAAACTAACAATAAATAATACTTTTTCCTTATTCAAATTCTGTTCAATTTGTTTGACAAGGTTTGTGGAAAAAGGACCATTGGTGAGTTGATTACCTTAATGTGGATCGGAGATACTGATATCCTGATGAACCTCCTGTTCCCAGTTGAGTAGCGCCTATCATACGCTGGACCATTAGCATATGGTTGTCTGCAATAGTGAAAGTTATGTTTTATGAGTGATTGTCTGTTGAAAAAAAGGTTGATTCGATATTCAACAAAAAACGGTATTCATGTATTACAGTTAATGAAGAAATTTGACCTGTGTACTTCCAATAATTTTTCTCTCGTAAAATCTTTCAAATCGAAATGGATTTTTCAAACACTGGGAGATACATACGTGTAAGAAAATAAATATTCTGAAATGAAATCATGAAATAATCATCTCTCCCAACTACCTATGCAGTAATGTCTGTCGGATATATTTCAATATCCACAGTGGTAATAGCCAGGGAAGTAGGTATTCACAGAACCTACTAGATTAATTATGAATGCGAAAACACATGAATCCTACTTTGCGGAACCTACCAATAATATCACTGGTTTTTTGGGAATGAAATATTTGTACGTAGCTTATAGAACAAATAATAATTTTTGACAATTTCTCAGAAGCAATAGAGACAAATCTCCAATGTAGGGCATGAAAGTTGATTTATGGTTCATGTCTCGAGTTTAACATTGGCCAAACATGGAGAACTTCCCCGAAAAGAATAAGAATTCATTGAAGCAATTTTTTTGATGAGAAAATGAATGATTCATTTAAAAACCATTTTTAACAAAGAGAAGGGTCTATTCTGATCTATTTGAATGCTTAGATATTGATAGTTCTAGTAATTTTGAACTATCGTTCAATAGCTGGATGTATTTGAATAATTGCCCCAAGTTAAATTTTTTTTTCCAATGCCGAACTAGTGAGTAGGGTAGATTTTCAGTATGGTTCAGTTTTTTTTATTATATGTCAAATTCTATCAGTTTGATCCCAGAAATAATGAAAACGTGTCAGGTAGTGAAAGTCATACAAACTACAACCTTCTTTGTAATGAACCTGAATTATCTGTGATGAATAATATTATATGAAGTCAACATAAAGTGATGCGAATCATTTGATTCCATGATCAACTCTATATAGTAATATCCCTAATGTAATAGGAGTTGATATTGAGGTGATGGAGCTATTTGTGGCTACATTACCTGATGGAGAAATCATTTTAAACCAATTGAGAATAATGTCACACAAAGAATTCATTCGACAAAAACCATTTCAATAAATTATATACCACTGGAGTTCTATCCCAACACCAAACCGTTATTTTTAACACCTAGATACGTTTTTCAATCACCAATAAGTGATTATCTTCAAGAGAAAGATTAAAATAGGCAAATATAACAAAAAATCGACCCTTATATACTCAGTTGCGAAATATTCCTACTACCAGTCGGTTGAGGATATTTCTGTGATTTTTTAAATATAATGCTTTTGTTGTTATTCCAAATCATTCGGTAATGATTCGCAAATATAAATATAATATGGCAACGGAATATTTTGATGTTATATTTCTACTCATTTGAATGTGATACATTTCAGTACAGTAAAATGTATGTAACAACAATCTTGTGATATTTTTTATAGGAGAAACATGAACATTTTAAAATACATTTCATGAATTTATATTGACAATTCTTCGAGGTACCAAATGCTTCACAAAATGTTTACTATTCATGAATATTATTGAATATATCAGCATAAAAATTGTGAGCTTTGATCCTGATTGGCAAAGGTTCTACCGGTGAGAAAGTTACCGAGGTGCTTGAAAAGGTGATAGTCAGTTGGCGTGGGGTCTGGAGAGAATGGTGGATGATACAGAACTTCGACGCTCAATTCGTTTGATTTGTGAAACGTACGAGCGGGCGTTGTTGAAGAGCAGAATCGAACCTCTTCTGTTCTGCTGCTGACGCAATAGGACTCTGCTGTGATGAGTTGACTCGGTTTAAAAAAGTTATAGTGAATCATGTCAGCTGCTGACCACCATACAGTGGCCATGGTCTGAACACTGTTCAGATAGAGGTGACGTGACGATCCGATCCAAAAGAGAATCGTTCTGTTTGTGGGTGATAATTTTTGTTGCTCTTTGACGTTTTCAATAAGTTTAAACCATAAAAACCGAATAGAAGTTGATGCCCAGTTCTTTCGCTATCCCACAAACGGGTTCTGATAGGTCACCCTCCACCAGGGTTCTTAAATCCTCGTCCTGAATTACTGTACGTCGACCACTTGGGGGGCTAGTATTCGAGGCTGAAATATCTGGAACGAAATTTCACATACTAACGTCGAACAATGAGTTAACATTGTCCAATGCCTTGTTGAATTTTTGGCAGCGCTTTGTTTCAATTCGAATTCGTAGAGAGAAATTGATCAAAAATCGCTGAACGACATCATATAGTAATAAGTTGAAAAGAGGCGAAAACAATTAATTTGTAGAAAATGAACAACAACAATGTATAGAGTAAAAAATTCTCTATCGATCAGTATATACCACGACACAGTAGAATAATTATTTATCGAAATATGGAGCTACAAAAACACAGGACATCAAAACGGACAACACTTTTCAAATAACTCAATACATTCAATAATATTCATGAACGGTAAAAATTTGGTGGAGCATTTGTTAGAGTACCTGGAAGAATGGTTAATATAAGTGCATAAAATTTATTTGAAAATGTTGTTTCTCCTATAAAAATATCACAAGATTGTTGTAATCTACATTCTACCATTCTACATTTGATTTATTAGAAATGCAACATCAAAATATTCCGTTGCCATATTATGTTTAAATTTGCAAATCATTATCGAATAATAACAAAAGCATCATATTTAAGAAATCACAGAAATATCCTCAACCGACTCGCAATAGAAATATTTCGCAACTGAGAGAAATCAAATAAAAATAATAATGGAATTATTTTTCTTTCAGTGTGTAGTGTCACATCTAGAAAATGCATGAATGAAGAAGAAGCAGCAATTTTTTGTAATATTTGTATATTTTTATTCTTCCTCTTGAAGATGATCACTTGGTGATTAAAACACGTGTCGAGGTGTTGAATATGATGGTTTGNAATTTGTTGTAAAAAACTTACATCTCCATTTGGTGATCAGCGAATCGATGTCCATCAACAACGTTAGAATTTGATGCGGTTGACTGAAACGTGGTTCGTCCCTGTAAAAGGTTATCATGATGGCTCCCTGCAACGCCCTGTGTGAAAATCTCCTTTCCCCCCTCGAAACCAACGCCTCGTGTATCTCTGATTTGAAAATTGATTCGTATATTTCTTTTCGCTTGGCCAAATCGTTGAGCCGATATCGCCTAAGAGCTTCTGTCTTTTCGTTCTGTGATCAGATAAAAGCGCATTAAAATTCATAACGTTTCGGGAGAAATATTCGAAAGCTCATTTCTGAGTTTGCTGAAGTGGAAGAAAAATTAAGACCCACTTTAGAATACTTGCACTGATGCACTGATTTTGAAGTTGTGGTTGCAAGAGAAAATATAATTGTTAGAGAAACGAATAAAACTTGAGAGATAAGGTGAACTACTTCAGAATCTCTACAAATGAAAAGAATGAGAATTCATTGGTTTGGTCTGATATAGTTTTAGATTTAAGTTGATGAGAAGAGCCTCCATTGGTGGGTTCTTTGTATAATAAGGTGAGAAATTTTTCAATTACGATCAGGAAAATTGTTCTCAATTTCCATAAAAAGGAGTCCTACTCATCTCCTAATATTATAATAGGAATTACGAAGTATCGTCTTTATTCATCAAAATAAACAAAGATACAATCAACATAATATTCATTAGTACAATATAATAATGGAGTGATCAATTTGAACATGATTAATAGAGGATAATGGATGGGAGGAGTGTCAGCAGGAGCTGTTCAACTCAACTCAACTCAACTTTACAAACTATCAAGAGAGAGATAGAATGTCGTAACCAGGAAAATGTCATCTCATATGGTTCAGATATGATGTAGATGCTCCTTCAATGTTTTCTTAAAATCAATGGGGTTGTGAGATTTTAATTCTCAGTTTTTCATGTACGACCAATGTCGAAAAAAAGCAGTTGCATTCCATCATCCACTCAAGTGGTATCACAAACCCACCCAATAAAAAATGGTGCTAACCAACTGGTTAGCACAGAAAAATCACTCACTAAATTAGTAGTTGAGGATCTAGTTGAGTTTGATTTGGTCTGAGGCACAATAAATTTTCACGAGTCGCAGCGGAGGTTCTGCTACATCCACTCACTTTGGTAAAAACATAATTGGTGTACAATAGTGTACACCAAAGAATTAAGCGGGATGGAAAAAATAAAATGCAATGATTCTAAAATAGAATATTGAATAAACAAAAAAAACCGAAGGTCTCAGTAAATGAAATGAGTAGAAAAAATGTATGTCAACGATTCCATTGAAAAAATAAGAATGATATAAATAATGTACAGAAAACAAAAACAAAATTTAAAAGATCCTAAGTAGCAGTCATCACGCCACTCTCGTCAGCAATACACGGTATCGAGCAGATAAAAAAATAATAAAATCGTTGGGCGAAGTATTTACACATTCACCTAGGTTTCGCTTCGTACAAATATTTTTTATATGATCAGTGCCGTAGATCATCTACATCGTTATTATTATTTTTGCAATAAAACCGTTCAACACAAAAAATTTTTTCACTGTTGGTGGGAGATCCATGCTTTTATCCCGATTCTGAGTTGACAAAATTCTTTGTATAGATCACATTGGATTTGCGTCTTTTTCATAGTTTACCACTACAGTACCTTCTAGTCAAGCCCTGTCATTTGATACTCATATTCCAGAACATCAAGGTTGCAAGTGATGTTCGTGTCTGCAATCGGGCGGATGCAGTCAGACAGATGGCTATTTTCAGATTGGAATCTAGCAGCTTCAGGGTATGCTTGGGGGGGGGGGGAAATTTATACGTGATAACAATACTCCAAAGAAGGTATAATCTGAGCTTTATAAAGCAATAAAACTTGCTGAAGTCTGTATAGTTTTCTGGTTTGGAACAGTGATCCAAGCTTTTAAAAAGCGGCCATTGCCACTCCAGTGACATGATTGTGTGTCTCTATGGACATGTTGGAGGATTTGTGGCGAAACTTGGGGTTTAGGTCCCAAAAAAATCCATTGGATTTATGTGATGATTGTCAGACCAATGATCACTTATGGTGCAATTGTTTGGTGGCCGAAGGCTTCAAAGAAAACGGCCCAAGCGAAGCTCTCTGGCTCACAGAGACAGGCTTGTCTAGCTATCAGTGTTACCATCAGTACCACACCGTCAGCGGCCATGGATATCCTTTCAGATCTACCTCCTCTCCACATTTTTCTGGAAAGAGAGTCTAGATAGACTGCATACAGACTTGTGCACATTGCCAATTACACACATCAATTCAATGCAGAGTGCAACATACTGTTGGTTGACATTGGAAGTCACAGCATTCTGGAAATGACCTCTGACTTTATACCTCCAATTTTCAACTACGAACTGCCTTATAAAGTACTATTTCCGAGTAGAGAGGACTGGGTCCTGCAGGAGAAGGAAATATTGAGAGCAGGTAGTTGTTGATTCACAGATGTATCAAAAACACCCTCCGGTTCTGGTGCAGTTGTTTTCAGTCGCAGACCCAGGACAGAGTTATCTACCTGCCTATTAACTTATGCGACTGTATTTCAAGCGAAAATTTACGATATTGAATTATGTGCGGAGAGATTGGACAAATCCAACCTCACTCACAAGTCAATAAAAATATTTGCGGACGTTGGAAGCTCTTGGCTCCTACCGAGCAACGTCTAAATTGGTAGCAAACTGCCAAAAAAAACTCTCCTCGATAGAAAGACTGAACAGATTGTCTCTGGTATGGATTCCTGGCCATACTGGGCTGGAAGGCAATGAAGCTGCTGACTCTCTTGCCAAGGAGGATGCTGCAAGCGGCTCCATTGGACCAGAACCTGTCATTGGCATCGCTTTGGGCTTTGCCAAACAAACACTGAACACCTGGATGGCAAGAAGAGTTATGGACTTCTGTCAGAATCTT